GGGCTTTTGGCCCACTTTCACGTGTAGAGTAGGGTCCACTCGCGGTGGGACGTCCACCACCCCCTACACGAAGGAGGAGGAGGAGARGATGGCCGCCCTTCTACAGGAGAAGAAGGAGAAGAAGGAGGCCAAGAAGAGGGCCTTGAAGGAGGAGCAGGCGGCCAAACTGAAGAAGATGGAAGAAGAAATGGCCAGAGAGAAAGAGAGGTTGAAAAAGGAAGAAGAAGAGAAGCTAAAGGAGATGGATGAAGAAGAGGAAGGACCGCCACTGCAAAGGAGTAGTGGGCAGCCCAGTAGTAATACCGGTGGAAACCTGGAGAAGAGGATCTCTGAATGGGTTGCCAACCTGACTGTGGGAGAAGAGGAAGAGGTTAGTATGTACATCCCGCAGGATCAGCAAGAAGCCGCCATGAAGGCTTGGGAGGTAGAGAAAGACCCTCTGAAACGTCAAGCGTTGGAAGACGAGAAGAAGATGGAATGGAAATTAGCGGTGATGAGGGAGAAGAAGAGGAGAATTGACAAGGCAGCGGAGGCGGCAGAGGCCTTAGAAGAGGTGAAGAACATAGAGACGCAATTAGCCGCCAAGCCCGATCTCCCGAATCAGATGTGAGTCATAGCGCAGAGCGTCGCATGCCTGGCACGGGTTCAGGCAGACCAATATGACTTTAGCAGAAATCAGGACATAGTTGTGCGCTCGATACGATTGGGCTTTCGAGACTTTGCTCGTGAGTTGGTAGGTGCCGTTGGAGTCGAGGTGGGTCACCGCCTCGACAAGACTGAGCGGTTCWGYGCCGGCGCCATTGAAGGCGTCAAGGCGGCAGCTCCCAAGSAGGAGGAAGCACGTCCTCCTCGCCGGGAGCCTGTCAAAGTCAAGTTCCCCGATTCCTACAGCGGGAGGAGGGAAGAAAACTTTGATAATTGGGAGGCCAACGTTAAGACCTATGTGCACTTGCAACAGGTCTCCCTAGATCAGCAAGTCTTAATTGCTATCCACGCACTGAGAGATGAGGCCGCCAGTTTTGCAAGGTCCCTAGTTCGCGCTGCCAACTGTAGTGATGATCCCGTTGCGTACTCCTCATTTACGTCCCTCACCGAATTTCTGAAGTTGCTGCGCGAGCGATTTGCTGATGTYGTTCGCGGTGTCAAGGCCTCAGACAAGCTCCAAACCATCCATTCTCGTAAATGGAAGAGTGCCAGGGCACTCAAGGGTACAATGGATGAGTTGGTGGCCGTCCCTAACCATGGGGTCACAGAGGGCCAGTTGGTCAACCTCTTTTACCGGGCTATGCCCGAAGCCTTTCGAGGGCAGTTCTTCGCGGAAAGCGAAGACCCTGCCACCACTTACGATTCCCTTAGTCGTGAGGTGGTGGCTTTTGAAGCAAAGTCAGTGTCCCTGTCTACCTTCTGGCACAAAGACTTGGACAGGGGTAAGCAATGGAAAGGCCGCACTATCTCAGGGCAGGTAAAAACCAATGATAGCCTTGTCCTGACCTTAGATGAGGGTAGTGTGGATGAGATTCCCTACGACCAGATTGAGTGGGGATTAGAGGAGGCGGACAGCGGCGTGGGCCAAGGGAGATCTTACGCTGCTGTCGCGGCTGGAGGGAGGCCGCAAGGAGGAMGAGGCCAGGGCCAAGGGGGCCGGGCCTCAGGGAGTCGATTTCAGGGCGATCAGGGGGYTGGCGGCAGAGGAGGAAACCGCCAAGCGGGAGGCAGGGGTCAAGGTCCCCCGCAAAACCGTCCTTGGAATCGGGCCCCCTATAGAATAGGAGGATGGCACCCAGGGCTACCTCAGGGTAGGCCTTGGGAATCTTTGGGTCTGGACCAGGCTTTATGGCAACAACGATTGGACCGGGGCCAGTGCATTTTCTKCGGTGACCCGGGCCATATCATCAAATATTGTCCCAAGTATAGAGAGACCCAAACGACTGCCCCAGGGCCAAAAGGCAACCGCCGGTAGGGGTAGCAACTGCCCCTACCATTAGGCCATGTGGGGAACATAGCGCTAGCCGGCAGGAGACTCCCACACCACATGTGCCTATGGCAGAGGTTGCAGGCCGGTGTCTAGATAGCTGTCCAAATACCGCTTGTGTTAGGATCTCTCTAGACACCTCCCTCACAGGCGTGGCCAAAGAGTTGAAAGAGAGGATGCCCGCCTGGGCCAAGATGAAGAAGGAGAATAAAGGGCAGCTT